TAGAATTCCGTAAAATATCATGAAATTCCTAAAATTTGGTTAAAAGTAAAAAATAAATAATATGGTCAAAATATTGGATATCATTCCACGAATTAAAGTGGAATGCTTAAAAATTTGTTGAGAATCTCTATATCAGCTTGAAATCTTAAATACCTATAGTCAAAATTTCATAAATTACTTTGAAATCGTTCAAAACCTGGTTTATATTCGTTAAATTTAACTTAACATCTATAAAATTGTCTAAATGTCTATAATAAAAACAAGAAATCGTTAACAATTTGGACATTATTTCATTTAATAAAGAAAACATTTGCGTAAATCACTATATTAACGAAAAATTGTCAAAGGATTTCGGAAAAAATTTCATAAAATATGTTCATTGCGTTCAAAAATTTTTTAAATATTTTAATTACAAAAGAATGTTGATAATTTTTTTAACATTCATTAAATGATATAGTTATTATCAGAAATTTAAAGGATTTCCTTATTAGCGTGAAACATTTTATAAATTGGTTGAAATTCTTTATTTCAATTTGAAAAATTCAAAGAAATTTAGATTAAACTTATATATAGATTTCGCTGAATTCTTTTAAAATTTAGTAAAATTTCCTTTAAATACCTTCGAATCGTAGAAATATTCTTTAAATTTCCAGAAATATTTTGTTAAAGGTCAAAGAATCTTTTAGAAATCCTGAATTTATAGTTTAACGTGTTTACGTTATTGAAGACGCCGTAGAGGTCGTTAATTGGTTTATTCAACAATCTAGAAGAAACGGCTACAATTAATTGTCACACAGTTGCGGGGTTTTACACTTTGTAACCCTAATCGCATTAATCTGTTACCGCTGTTGCGTGGTTTCACACTTTATAACCCTATGCGCACATCAGCTCACTCTGTGTTCAGTAGTCTACACGTTGACAGTAGGGGAGCTAGGTATCACTGTATCACAAGCTCCCAATTACACAATCACACACAAGTCCGGATCTTCTTTCCGCGACTGCTGCTATACTCCAACTATAGTCGGCTGGCTGTTACTTTATAACTCGCCGGCTGTCACCGGACAACTGAACTGGTAGCTGCTGTGCAGCTCACTTATATAGCTGCAGTGCTTACCGGTTGCGTAAAGAGTGCCACGTCACAGTAGGAAATTTATTACGTGTATGTAGCGTTGCGCGTTACGTCACCGTTGAGGGGAGTGTCGGGGCGGGAACTCGCCTTGCATAGTTACCAGGTTGCGGGGGCTCGGCTATCTTCGGCTCCGCTCGGCCCTCTTCGGCTCCTCGCGGTGACGTCACCGCGCGTAGCGCGTTGTATAGCTACCAGGATGCCGGGTGATTACTCGCCTATTACGCGAGCGCTACATTACCGCTACGTGCAGCTGGGGAGTTAGGGGTCAACATGTCACACTGCTCCCTCCTTAAGGCTGTTCGTCCCGAATAGCCTAACGGTGCATCCCCGTTCCTTTTCCTCGGTGGCTGTTCTTGCAGCATCTTCTTTGTGTCCTGGTATTTGGGCTACTCCTTGCAATGATTGTTCTCCGGCTGTTACAACCGCTCCCCTCTTAAGATCTGCCCCTCTCGAGCGGTTCCCTTTCAGTTCGCCAGAAGATCCACTTGTGTCTCATTCATCCATTACTTCCATTCTATGGCACACTCATTCTCTCTGGGGAGGCCGGTTCATCTACATTACCGGTTCCTCCTCTGCTTGAGGTCTTTTTCGTTTTGGAGGGGGTCGTCCCCTCCACAAGGTCCAGTCCTTCATCAAGTTTGTCTTCGGAGGTTCCTCATGTCGACGTAACAGCCCTTGATGCGTTGTTCGTCCTTGCCGGCTTCGTCGTTCCTCCTGGTCTTCCAGCCGCTTGCTGGCACGGTGGCGCCAA